GTGAACGCCTGGGAAAAACTTACTGCATTGCACACCAAAGCTCCCTGTGGCTCAACCACCTGCCTGCCCCCCCCAGCCCAGGAGCAAAGCCCCCTCCTCAAAGAGGTATGGAACATTTGTTGGGTGAGGCACAGAAATCTCTGGGTGATGCTGTTAGAGAGGGGAGGGGTCTGCAGCTCTCTTGGGGGCAACATGTAAGCAATGGGCCATCGCTGCCTTTCCAATTCCAGTCCCTGACGTGCTCCAGGTGCTAAAGAGGCTGCACCTCAATTAACCTTTTCCCAGATCAGCCATTAGTCAACTGAGCAGATGAACCATCCTCAAGTCAAACCCAACAGCCCGTGTCTTCACAAGCACCTTGGAGGCATTTTCTGAACAGCGATACAGACTGAGATGGTTCTTTTTTTTAATTTTCCAGTGCTAGACAGCATCTCCTGCATTTCCTGGTGGTCCCCCATCCAAGTGCCAACTAACACTAAACAAACTTCACTTCCCAGGTCAGCCAACAATTTCCAGGGCCAGACTGAGAGTCTCTCGGCTCACTGTCTGGGCGAGTCCCTGCATTAAGCCTCAATGACAAGGGAAGATCTCACATTTGCACAGCCTGTTCAGTTTGGCTAGTCTTATGCCAGGTTAAGTTGGCCTCCAAAGAGCCTATTGAACAATGCCAGGGGACTGGGTATGGACAGTCAGGAGTGGGGAAGCAAGTTGTGTGAACACGGCCTCGGGTCACGCTGGGTCCTCCTTTAGGTTGTTCTAGGCCAGAGGTGAAGAACGATGATGCCCCTTTTATGACTTGTGGATTTCAACTCCCAGAATTCCAGAGCCCGCATGAACCACAAATCATAAAAGGGTCATCAGCGATCTCCCTTCCTTCCCATTCCAGCTGAACGCCTGCAGCTTCGCTCTGTTCCACCTCCGAGAAAGATGGCGCCGGGACCCTCTCTCACTTCCGCTTCTGCCCCCCACAGTATTTCCACTTGTAGGTTTCTTCCGTTGTGGCCGGTGAAGGCAGCGCCACTGACCTCCCAGGCATCGCTCCAGCTCCGGCCCCCACGACCCATGTGTCCTTCTTTGCACACCTGCCGAGGAACCGTCCGCGAGAGCCGCTCTGAGTGGCCCCAGTGCCCTCTTTACTGCGGGACGTGGCACGGCCTTTCCCGGCCCTGAAGATGAAGTAGAGCCGAGCAGCAACTCCCCCACCGGCCAACAGGGGGCAATAAAGGACGGGTCTTGACTCCACCTGCCGGTCCTCGGGAGCGCTGCAGCCCAGAGATGCTCTACCCGGGGTTTCCTTTGGAGGGCAGCTCTTCCTCCCAAGGAGGCGGGGCCCTGTCTGGCCCTAGATTAGAGTGCACAACAACCTGCCCAGGTAGGCTGGCGAAGGGACTGCAGAGGCTGATTGGTAAGAAAGTTTGGAGTTTATAGTTCAGCAACATCTTGTTTCCGTTCACACAACACAATTCCCTCCATGGGAGCTAACACCCACATTCACACGTTCTAAGGGTGGCAGTGTTGACAAGGGCTGGATTTCCGGGGCTTTGCCTGTCCTAGTCCAGCCTCCCTTACTTCATCTATCTGAGGATGGCCTTACATGGTGCTGACCTTTGGAAAACCCATTTAGATTATATGAATGAGATGGAGGAGCTCTTTCACACCCACAACGGAGGCCAAATTAGCCCCAGATTCAGCCACGTCACACTTGCTCCAAATAGGCACCGAGTGGGATGATCGTTTAAAGGCAATTTATTAGTCTATTATAGCAAAGAGATTTCCCTCAATGAAAAGAGGGAATCCAGGACACAGAATCTGGTTTCATTTTATACGCCTNGGTTGGATGGAAGAAATCATCCTCCTCAGTTACGCCAGAGACATGGACAGTAACATCCCATAATATTAAGCATAACCATTGAAATGTACATTGCATTAAAAGGAGAACGTTCATATGGGGAAAAGTGTCATGAGTCAAATGAGGCTGTTATTAAAAGGTACAAGTTCAAACACAGAGTTTCAGTTCGGCATTTAACACATTCCCCAGCATATAGTAGACAAACTGGGCCTTTTAGGCTTAAACGCTCTTTGTGTAACTGGATTCTTGATTTTCTTACCAAAGGCTGCAATATGTGCAATTTGGACCTCTAATTCCATTTTCTTAAGCACAGATTCTCCTCAGGGCTGCGTCCCAAGTCCGCTGCTGTTCACCCTGTTGATCCATGACTGTTGTGCTAGGTTTTCCACCACCCATATTGTGAAGCTCGCAGATGATACAACAGTAGCGGTCCTTATTCATGATGACAATGGAGCTTTCCGTAAGGAGGTTGAAGGGTTGGTGAACTGGTGTAAGGAAAACAGCCTAGTTTTAAATACCGGAAAAACCATAGAAATCATTGTCGATTTCAGAAAAGGCAGGCACAGCCACACTTCTCTGTACATTAATGATTCACCTGTGGAGATGGTTACAGCATCAAATTCCTGGGTGTGCAGCTAATGAGTAAAATTACATAGCCCTTGAAAAAGTGTGTAAAATTATTCAAATTCCACTATTTGGCATCACAGAAGAGCACAATCATTAAACAGAGTGTAGCAATAAAGGGAATAATAAAATGGTGCTGTACATAAGTGTACTTACTCCTGAATGTGTGGGCTGAGAATACAATATATACTCATGTTGACACACAAAGGTTGAGTTGGCAATGAAGGGTAAGAGTTCGCACTACTGAGTTGTACTTAGGTCTATGATAAAAATTCCAGTAGCTTCTTAGTGCAGTATTGCAGGCAGACTGTCCACAGTCTGGAGTTTGATTCTGACAGCGCTCAAGCCTTGACTCAGCCATCCATCCTTCTGAGGATGGTAAAAGGGGGACCCAGATTGTTGGCGGCAATATGCAAATAATGTTTACCTTGGAAATCTCCCAGAGTGCGCTGTAATGCACTATGGGGCGGCATATAAGCCTAAATGCTATTGTTATTTCAGTGGCACCGTTGTGACTGCAGGCATATTTAGCGTTTTTTTCCCCATGTGGATTCTTTGATGTCGATAGAGGTGTCCACAAACAATAAAGCTCTTTCCACACTCAAGGTATTTGTATTGTTTTTCTCCCGAGTGGATTGATGCTGACAAAGACTTCCCTTCCCACAGAAAACCTTTCCACGCTCCAGGCATTTATATGGTTTCTCTCTTCAATGGAGTCTTTGATGTCTGTAAAGGTTTCCCCTCTGACTACAGCTCCTTCCATACTCCAGACATTTATATGCTTTTTCTCGTCTGTGAATGCTTTGATGTTTATGGAGACCTTGACTTTCAGTAAAGCTCTTTCCACACTGGAGGCATTTACAGATAGTCCCCCAGGTACAAGAGTTCATTTAGCCAGTTTTCACAAAAACAAATTAATTAAATTTATTCAGGAAGGGTACTTACATTAGAAATTCAGAATTGCGATCAAAAAGGTCTGTCTAGCCATGTGACATGGTTTCAGTCTCTGCTGCAGTGGCGGCCATTTTTATCTCTCCGACTTTCCTTGGCTGTTTGGGGCTATGAGAAGCTGGCAGAGTTTGGGGTTTTTTTTATCCCTGGCCACATGGCCAAACAAGTGCCGAGCCAGCTCCGGTTTTTGCTTTTGCTAGCTGAAGATGCTTGAGCTGGCTACCAGCCGTTATTTTTTTAAAAAGGTAACTGCAAGGGTTCCAAGCTAAATTGGCATTTATAGGGTTTCTCTGCTTGTGTGGATTCTTTGATGTCTATGAAGGTGTCCCCTCAGACTGAAGCTCTTTCCACACTCCAGGCATTTATGTGGTTTTTCTCCTGAGTGGCTCTTTTGATGGGTGTAAAGGCTGCTCCTCTGACTGAAGCTCTTTCCACACTCTACGCATTTATGTGGTTTTTCTCCTGAGTGGATCCTTTGATGGGTATAAAGGCTTCCCCTCTGACTGAAGCTCTTTCCACACTCCAGACATTTATGTGGTTTCTCTCCTGAGTGGATCCTTTCATGTGTATAAAGGTGTGCCCTCTGACTGAAGTTCTTTCCACACTCCAGGCATTTATATGGTTTTTTTCCAGGGTGAATTCTTTCATGTATATAAAGGTCTTCCCTCTGACTGAAACTCTTTCCACACTCTAGGCATTCATACGGTTTCTCTCCTGAATGGATTCTTTGATGTATGTAAAGGTTTCCCCTCTGACTGAAACTCTTTCCACACTCTAGGCATTTATACTGTTTCTCTGTTGAGTGGATTCTTTTATGTTGATCAAGGTTGCTGCTCTGACTGAAGCTCTTTCCACACTCCAGGCATTCATACGGTTTCTCTCCTGAATGGATTCTTTGATGTATGTAAAGGTTTCCCCTCTCATTGAAGCTCTTTCCACACTCCAGACATTTATGTGGTTTCTCTCCTGTGTGAATCCTTTGATGTTTATAAAGGTTTCCCCTCCGAGTGAATCTCTTTCCACACTCCAGGCATTTATGTGGTTTTTCTCCTGTGTGAATCTTTTGATGTCTATAAAGGTTTTCACTCAGACTGAATCTCTTTCCACACTCCAGGCATTTATGTGGTTTTTCTCCTGTGTGAATCTTTTGATGTCTATAAAGGTTTCCCCTCAGACTGAAGCTCTTTCCACACTCCAGGCATTTAAATGGTTTCTCTCCTGTGTGGATTCTTAGATGGTTCACAAGAACTGTATTTGTTTTGAAAGATTTTCCACATTCGTCGCATTCATATTTCTCTCCTCCCTCCTGGATTCTCTGGGGATTCCAGGGTCTTCCGCCTCTTCTGAAGGACCCTCCGCCCTCCAGGCCCGTCTCGGGGTCTCCGCCCGTTTCCTCCTCCCCGCTTCTCCCTCCAGGCGGCCTCCTTTCCCGGAGTCCCCTTCGGCTCATCCCTTCGGGCCTTCCCCGCCGTCTCCTCCCGGGGCTGCTCCGCGGGGCCTCCTCTCCTCTCGGGCGGCGCCTCCTTCCTTCCTTCCTTCCTTCCTTCCTCCGCCGGGCTCGCCCGTCCTCCTGCAGGGGCGAAGGGGGAGGAGGAGAGGCGGGTCAGAGTTTCGTCCCTTCCCCAGAGGGGAGTCCCAGGCCCGCCCGGGGAGGAAGGCCGAAGCCTCCGCCTTTCAGTGAGACTTTCCGGGCAGGCTTCCCTCCCAGCGCCCGTCCTGCCAGACCAGGCCTCGCCTCCCCCCTCCCTTCCTCCGCCAGAGAGCCTCTCGGACTGCGACTCCCAGCATCCCTTGCGCCCTACCTGGGTCCGAGGCCGCCCGTGGATGAATCAATTAGGGCGCTTCAGTTCTATTCGTTCCCGGAAGTGGAGGCGGGACTTCCCTGCGAGGTCTGTTCCTGGCTGCTTTTCCTCTTTCCTTTGAATGGACCGCCTCGAGGAGTCCTCCTGCCAATCGCTGCCCTGCCCAGAGCGCCCAATCTACGCCCCGCTTCCCCCGATCCATCATCATATGGCGCCTCTCAGTGAGACTTTCCGGGCAGGCCTCTCTCCCAGCGCCCGTCCCGCCAGACCAGGCCTCGGGCTCCCCCCTCCTTCCCGGGGTTCCCTCCTCCGCCAGAGAGCCTCTCGGACTGCGACTCCCAGCATCCCCTGCGCCCTACCTGGATTGCGAGCCAGCCCGCGGCGGAATCAATTAGGCGCCAAAGTTCTATTCCTTTCCGGAAGTGGAGGCGGGACTTCGCTGCGATCCCTTTGCCTGTTACCGGTAGCTTTTCCTCTTTCCTTTGAATGGTTCCGCCCCGAGAAGTCCTCCTGCCAATCGCTGCCCTCCCCAAAGCGACCAATCGGCGTCCTGCTTCCTTGCAACCATGATCCACATGGCGCCTGCGCAGTAGCGAAGGTTCCTTCTCGGCAAGGGGCTCCCCTTGAAGTCTTCTCCCCCCTCGCCCCCCTCGCATCCAGGCCGGCGGAGCTGAGGGTCTCCCGGGGCTGCGTCTCCGCCCCTCCCTCCCTCCCCCCTCCCCATACTGGGGGTCTCTCCCTGGGCAGGGCGGGGGAGAGTTGGGGGGGCGCTTCCTCCCTCCTCCCTCCTGGGGGGCTCCAGCCAGGCTCCCCCCGCGGCCCCCAGGCAGCCCCTCTCCCGGGTGGGGGGGGTGGGAGCAGGGGAGGAGAAGGGCGGGGGGAGAGGTGAGAGCAGCCTTCCCATGTCTGGGAGGGGGCGCCCGGAAGAGGAGGGGGCCCAGCTCTTCCCCGAAGCCCCCCCTGAAGGCGGGAGGAGCAGCGACGGAGGGAGACTGGCCCGGGAAGGAAGGAGGAATCTCCTGACAGGGAGAACTGTTAACCCGTGGAACTACCTGCCTCCAGAAGCTGTGAATGCTCCAACACTGGAAGTTTTTAAGAAGAGACTGGGCAGCTATTTGTCTGAAATGGTCTAGGGTCTCCTGCCTGAACAGGGGGTTGGACTAGATGACCTCCAAGGTCCCTTCCAACTCTATTACTACTACTATTATTAATAATAATTAGTTTTTATTATTAATAATAATAATATTCTACAAGGTCCATTCCACTCTGTCATCTCATGGACGCTCCTGCCTTTCTTCGGTTTTGTCTCTTCAGAGCTTCTTCCCCTCCCTTCACTCACTCTGCATTCACACCGGAAGCTCTTCGCGCATGTGGGGGAAAAGGAGGATATGCAATTATATGTATTGTTTGACTTTAAATATTTGTATTCATCTCATGCTTTTCCCAAATGTTTTCTTTGGGTTTTTTCTCTCCTGTTCTGCCCTGCCAAAGAGGAATAAGGAAAGTGGGGAGCATGAAGGAGATGAGATGGTGCCCTAAACTGGCCTTAAGGACCACCTTTCCCAGCCTCTCGGGGTGCTTTGGACTGGGGTAGATTTGGGGTGCCGTATAACATCTAATGCTGCTCCCCCTTTGGGGGCTTCTTTGAGAGAAGAATCCATCCACGTCCTGAGTTGGGATGTGTGTCTCTTCCTCAATCTTGACTCTTCCATCGCAGGCGGGAGAGATTGAAGTTTCTGCGCAGGATCTTAGGTGTTCCTAGCACTGCGTTCCTCCGGGCAGAGAGAGCTCTGAGTCAGTTCCTGGGATCTGTTGCAGCCCCTCTGCCAACTTAGGAGTCACCAGAACCTCCCTCCCCAGACCCAGCTGAGCACGTGGATGGACTAGATGACCTCCAAGATCCCTTCCAACTCTATTACTATTACTACTACTATTCTTCATAATTCATTTTTTTTATTATTATTATCATTATTATTATCATTATTATTGTTATTATTATTATCCTACAAAGCCCATTCTAGCGCTGTCATCTCATGGACAATCCTGCCTTTCTTTGGGTTTGGCTCTTCAGAGCTTCTTCCCCTCCCTTCACTCGCTCTGCATTCACACCGGAAGCTCTTCGCGCATGTGGGGGGAAAGGAGGATATGCAATTATATGTATTGTTTGACTTTAAATATTTGTATTCATCTCATGCTTTTCCCAAATGTTTTGTTTGGGTTTTTTTCTCTCCTGTTCTGCCCTGCCAAAGAGGAAGGAGGAAAGTGGGGAGCATGAAGGAGATGAGATGGTGCCTTAAACTGGCCTTAAGGACCACCTTTCCCAGCCTCTCGGGGTGCTTTGGGCTGGGGTAGATTTGGGGTGCCGTATTACATCTAATGCTGCTCCCCCTTTGGGGGCTTCTTTGAGTGAAGAATCCATCCACGTCCTGAGGTTGGGATGTGTGTCTCTTCCTCAATCTTGACTCTTCCATCGTAGGCCAGAGAGATTGAAGTTTCTGCGCAACACATTTGCAAATTAGCTCCCCCCCCAACTTACCTATCCATTTCAATGGGCATCTGTAATCACCCACCTGCTGAGACTTTGGAAAAAGTGTAAAGGAGAGCAAGGAAGATACTTAAAGGCCTGGAGACTAAAACATATGAAGAAAGGTTGCAAGATTTGGGTTTGGCTGGAGCACAGGTGTCAAACTTGTGATCTCTTTTGATGTGTTGTGACTTTTTTCCCACTGCTGGCAATGGGGTGGGAGCGGTTTCGGCGTGACGCATCCAGCCCGTGGGCCATCACTTTGACATGCCTGGTATATTAGGGCTCCTGCTTGAGTAGGGAGCTGGACTAGGAGACCTTCAAGGTCCCTTCCAGCTCTATTCTAAATTTGAATTTGCCTTCACTAACAATGTCAGCTCTGAACTGTTCCCAAGAACTCATTCCAGCTTCAGCAGCTGAAGCACCAAACCCTGAAAAAGACAAAGGGGGGGGGGGCAAAGGACATCATGCCCACCTTTTTCCCTCCACATCAAGAACCAGTCCAAGTTATCAGCAATCACATGATGGTTATTGCACCCCAAGCAATTCACTATCACGGATCTATGATGGTAAGCCAGCTTGGAAGTGCTTTTTGCAGACCGTGTCCCACATCCCTGAAAGAGAAGCCAGCATCCACTCAGGGATGTTTCAAAGTGGTTCTCTGGGATATCCAAGGGCAGGGAATTGGGGGGAGGTGCCCATTTATCTTGAAATGACTTCTTGTATTAAATTTAGGAGCAGCTCAACTCCCAAAGACTCTGGATGCTTTACAAAAGAGAAGAATAAAAGGGGAAAAAGAATGTGTACACCTGGGAAAAACACTTATTGCATTGCACACCAAAGCTCCCTGTGGCTCAACCACCTGCCTGCCCCCCCCAGCCCAGGAGCAAAGCCCCCTCCTCAAAGAGGTATGGAACATTTGTTGGGTGAGGCACAGAAATCTCTGGGTGATGCTGTTAGAGAGGGGAGGGGTCTGCAGCTCTCTTGGGGGCAACATGTAACCAATGGGCCATCGCTACCTTTCCAATTCCAGTCCCTGCCGTGCTCCAGGTGCTAAAGAGGCTGGACGTCAATTAACCTTTTCCCAGATCAGCCATTTCCCAGACGAACCATCCTCAAGTCAAACCCAACAGCCCGTGTCTTCACAAGCACCTTAGAGGCATTTTCTGAACAGCGATACAGACTGAGCTGGTTCTTTTTTTTAATTTTCCAGTGCTAGACAGCATCTCTTGCATTTCCTGGTGGTCCCCCATCCAAGTGCCAACTAACACTAAACAAACTTCACTTCCCAGGTCAGCCAACAATGTCCAGGGACAGACTGAGAGTCCCCTGGCTCACTGTCTGGGCAAGTCCCTACATTGAGCCTCAATGACAAGGGAAGACCTCATATTTACACAGCCTGTTCAGTTTGGCTAGTCTTACACCGGGTTAAGTTGGCCTCCCAAGAGCCTATTGAACAATGCCAGGGGACTGGGTATGGACAGTCAGGAGTGGGGAAGCAAGTTGTGTGAACACGGACTCGGGTCACGCCGGGTCCTCCTTTAATAATAATAATAATAATAATAATAATTTAATTTATATACCGCCCTTCTCCCATAGGACTCAGGGCGGTTCACAGCATATTTAAAAACAGATACTATACACAAATACAAAAATACAAAAACACAAAAATATAAACCCCAATAAAAACCGAATTAAAAACCAAATATTGACGGCTGTGTTTCCAATTAAAATTACTGTT